ACTCTCTCCCCTCCCCCTCCAGTCTGGTCTGTCTCCTGTAGTAACACAGCCCTCCCACAGTCACCACCACTAGTTTAGAATTATCACATGAGGTAAAATCTATTTGTTCTCTCTGACCTGATTTAACCCTCACTTTACACTGAAGAATGTGTCAGAGTGTTTGGAAGGAATGGAGGAGGCTAGAACATTCTAGGTGGAAGGAACAGCTTAAGTGAAGGCTCAGAGGGAGAATGGTCCTTGCGGGGGGTGGGACCAGGTCACCATCCTCCATCGTGTGGATGGTGAAGGCAATTTCTTTGAAACATGGATGCTTGGAGGGTTCTCCTCAGTGTTAGGATGAGGCTTGATGACCTCGAGGTGGGAGGCATGACTGGTTTGTATGGCAGTCATGCAGAGGGGTTCTGCAAACGTCGTGTGTGCTGATCCCCCAGGGTTATCAGCGATGGAGAGAGGGCGCTGTCCCTGTGGTCCAGAGCCACAGACACTGGGGCTCTTCAGCCCTGTGTCCTTCTGTGAGGCCAGTGTGCTTAACAACTTATTCGTGGGCCACAAAGAATGGTTAAGTGTTGATTCACTTTGCTGCAAAGAGTCCCTTGGTCTCTGAATCATCTTCTTGAACTCACCACTGACTTGGTTGTCGATTTGGGAGCTGCTAGCCCCCCGTGTTCCCCACGGTGTTTGCTTCTCTCGTGGCTCCGTCACCTTCGGGGGTGTGTGTCCCACAGTGCAGGTGGTGTGGGTGGTGGTTCTGAGCCAGGACATGCTGTGGACCTGCCCATGGAGCCTTGGTGACAACGACAGCTTTATCAAGATACAACTCACACACCTTACCATGAACCCACTTACAGGGTACCATCTGATGGGTTTTAGTAAATTCACAGTTGTGCAAACATCACCACCCAGGTTAGAGCATTTTCGTCACCCCAGAGAGAGACCCTGTACCCATATTAGCGGTCACTCCCCATTCCCCCTCAACTGTCCCGACCTCTTTCCTGCAAACACCAGTCCACTTTCTGTCTCCACAGACCTGCCTATTGCAGCGAGCTCATTTATGTGGAAGAATACATCACATAGCCCGTTATGCTGGAATTTTCCACTTGGCCCCATATTTCAAGTACCATAGCATTAGCACTTTGTTGTCCGTGGGATTTTAAAAAATACGGTTGCCTGAGTCCTGGTGCTGGAGATGCTGACTCAGCAGGTCTGGGACAGGGCCTGGGTCACCGTAGCCATTCCGTCAGGCACTGAGGGTCCCTGTGTCATGGGACAGGTTTGGAGCAGACAGGAATCCCTGTTCCGGCTCCAGTACTTTCCGGGTGTGGAAATTTGGAGAAGTTCCTCTATGCTTTGAACCTCAGTTTCTTGTGTTGGGAAGTGGGTTAAAACTGGAGCCCCTGTGGTTGCTGGGAGGGGGGTGTGGGGCGCGGGGTGCAGAGACCCGAGTACCAGCTCCCTCTGCAGTTGCGTTCCTGGTGAGGGATTGAGGCTGTGGTGTCTCCGACCCTCGGTGTGGATCATGGACACGAGAACCACACTTACTTAAAGAGGGTGGTGTACGCTCTTGGGTGTTTGGCTCGTTGGACAATGTGGGGCTGGCAGTCTGCCACACACCCTTGTGTGTCTGTAACACACCGGTGCATCAATTAGCTGTGATTCCGGAGAACGGGTGCTTTCAGAGCCTTAACTCCATGAGGGTCCCCATCGTCTAGCCCAGGGTTCCGTTAATGCTGGTCGAGTGAGTGTGAGCTGGACAGAGGGAGTCCCCAAACCCCCGGGGCTGAGTGGTGGCCCGTGAGCCAGCCACGTCCCGGTGGGAGCTCCGAGCCCCTTCGCGGCACGCTGACAAATGCGTGCAAACCATGCGGCTGAGCATCCCAGTCCCGTGCTCCTGACTTCTCTGTTAACATATGACATTCTTACCAACGAGTTATTTCAGTGACCACTCACGGAGTTTAAATCTGGAGGTGTCTTTCCAGCTCTCCTCGGCCAGCCCGCTGCAAGCCAGGATGACGAGGGTGTTGGATCTAATGAATGACCCTGCTCCAAGGTCCTTGGGCTCGTGACCTCAAAGGGGGGCCGTGGGAGTGCCTGACCCTTTCATCTTAATTTGAGTTGGTTTCCTGCCACCCTTCCCACGGTGACCCCTGGGGCCCTGCTTACTGAGCACACGGGTGGTTCACTGAGGCTGTAGGGCACGCGCTGTGGTCACAAGAGAACATGGCGCACAGGCCTCTGGTTTGGGCGTGTTGGCCTTGACCATGCCTAGAGCAGAGGCATGGGCACCTTGGGGCCGGCGGAACTCGGGACGCTCGGGCTGAAGATTTGGAAGTACCTGGTAACTCTTCTCTCCTCTGGGCTCTGTCCCCCGTCGGTCGGTTCTGTGTCTAGCCCCTCGCCCCTCCCTGCGCCGCACCTCCCCCCAGTCTGACCAGAGTCTAAGTGTTCGAACCTAGCACAAAACCCGGACACGATGTTCAGGGGGGACTAGGGGGCGCTTGTGCTGAGCTCTTCACGGAGAGCCCTGCCCTTTGGCCCCGCTCTTCCCTTTGTTCCGGAAACTTCCTGGGAGGAGTCAGGGAGGTCTCTTCCTCCCGAGGGAGCAGTGGGCAAAGGGAGTCGCTCTGGTGGGGCCTCTGAAGGCTGTTTTCTACCTGGAATCTCTCTGCTGCTCTAGGACATCTACCGGGAAACTGATCACAACCACTCAGGGACCATCGACGCCCAAGAGATGAGGATGGCCCTCGGGAAGGCAGGTGAGACTCGGTTTCGGGACACGATGTGCTCATTTGAAACACTCTGAACGGGATGGCGGCAAAGCTGTGCTGGAGCCACCGGCCTCATCTAGCACCAGGGCACAGGCTAATCCCCGAGGATTGCAATGGGGGTGGCCAGAGGGTCCGCATCCCATGGAGGAGCCTGGCCGTGTCAGCCCTGAGCCCTGCGTGCCACCATGACCCAGGTGCCCCGCCACAGGTTTCACGCTCAGCACCCAGGTGCAGCAGACCCTAGCCCTGCGGTACGCGGACGGCAGACTCCGCATCAACTTCGATGGCTTTGTGGCCTGTGTGACCCGCTTGGAGACCCTCTTCAGTGAGTTGTCCTGTCCCTCAGCCCCACCCGTTCCGCTGCAGGGCTGGGCGGCGGAGCCAGGCAGGCCTCCTGGGGGAGGCGGCACGAGCTGGCCACGCCCAAGGTCAGGGGCTGCCCTTTCGTGGAGGCCCAGAACGCTGCCACATTGGTTGTTGTGGGCGCTGGTGCGGGTTGTCTGACTGCCACGAGCCGTCAGGCAGCGCAAGTCCTGGGGCTTAAGTGTCTTAGTGTCTTTTTCGGGGTCATGTGCAGAGCCCGTATCAGCTCCCAGGAGGGGATGAGCGTGCTCCCGCTGCCTCGGGCTGTGGGCGCCCACGAAGCTGTCCTGTTCAGGGAGGGGTCTCCTCACTGGGGGTGTGGGTGGTCCCAATGGGAAAAGGCCGGGCCCCTAGAGAGGAAGCCAAGGGAGTGGCTGGCCCACCAAGGGGCGACCGTGGTCTGTCCACAGCCCCCTCCTCCCCCCGCACGCTCCCACGGAAAGAATGAAGTTCTAGAGTCTCAGAGGGTGGAGATGGTGATCGACCACCTCTGCTCATAGCTGCAAATGTCCCCTGGGGCAGAGGGACGCCTGCCCCCAAACCCACGTGGGACACCAAACCTCCATGGAGCTTTCCAGAGTCCCTGCAGCCGGGTGGGCGCTGGGGGGTCAGGGAAGGGGACTCACGGGGGGCGGTGGACAGGGGCAGCTCTCTGCGGTTCCGAAGTCTCATATCATTCCTTATTTGGCGTTCTAGAACTGTTCAGGCTGCTGGACAAGGACCAGAGCGGCATGGTCCGGCTCTCCCTGGCTGAGGTAGGCGGCTGGGGTTCTGGTGAATGGCTTGCTGATGGGACTTGGATTCTGGGTCGTTATGGGTGCCGAGGGGGGCTCGTTCACAGTGGCCTGTCTTATTTCCACGCGGCTACAATGCATCTTCTGGGGGCCGCACTGCGGGAAGAAATGGGACTGCCCTGTGGTCTTCCCAACACGCATCTGTTATTATCTTGAAGATAAGGCTACGGCTACATTTCAAATCATGTTGGGATACCAGCCCTTGCTAATTTGGATGGAAATGTGGGCGGTGGGTGTGATTTAATGGCTGACTTCCAGGAGCAGATGTTTTAGATTAACAGAGAGAAGGTGACCAGAAACCAGTGGGAATGTCAGTGACCTGTTTCCAGTGATGTGGGAAGGTCTTCCTGGAGGCACCTGGACATCAGCGTTGACCCTGACATTGAGTGTATACATACGTACACACACGCACACACGCACACACACCTGTTTGTGGAAGGCCCTCTTGGGTCTGGGCCTTTCCTAAGCCACCTGTCTAGAGGGCTCGTGGGGTTGGGGCTGAGTTAAGGACTCCCAGGCGCCCCCTGGAGCATGGACGCGTCACAGGTCGCGCCACACGGGGCAGGAGAGCGTCTTGGGCGCCGTCGCGCCAGCTCCCAGGGGAGCGCTGAGCTCACCCTGTGGTCCTTCTTTTGCAGTGGTTGTGTTGTGTGTTGGTCTGACCCGAGCGTGTGGACCCCTGTGACACTCCGCACCAGCCTGCCTGCTGCCTTTCTTCCCTTCTTCACGATTCTGCGAGCAAGGATCCGAATGGCATTCACTGGTTGTCCCGTCTTCCCTGCCCATCAGCGTCCCTGAAGGTCCCAGCCTGTCCCACCCGCGCCGTCTGGGGGCAAGGCCTCTCTTTCAGCAGCGTGCAGACAGACCCTGGAGCCCCCCGGAGGGACCACAGTCAAATAAAGTCTGGTCCAAATGGTTCTTGCTTTTCTCTGGCGATGTGCAATGTGCAGAGAGCCCTGCTTCTCATGCTTTGGGAGAGAGGTTTTGGGAAAAGACAGGCCCAGAGCTCCTGGGGTGGAGACGCGGGCGGATCTCTTGGGCGGCCTCTGGGGCAGCGCAGGAAGGAGCATCTCCAGCCCTCCGAGGAGGGGTGTAGGTGGGCTGCTTTCTGCCCTTTTGAGGAAGGAGGAGTGGGCCTCCCTCCTGCACTCGAGGCCCAAGAAGTCAGCGTCTGCCGAGTGGGAGGCAGATCCTTGCTGAGGGATTCCTGACCCACAAGGAGGGAAACGCAGTTCCGGCTGGTTTCTCTCCCTGCTGGACACGAGGATCTTTGTGGCTGGTGAGAAAGTGGATGCCAAGCCACGTGTCCTAAGGGGCAGATGGGGCAGAGCTGGCTTTCCCAGGCGGCCTTGGGATGGGAGGGTGAGGTGCTCGGCCTGCTGGGGGCTTGTTCCCACAGACCTGGAGGCCGGGCAGCTGAGATCCGTGTGCGGGCAGCCGGGCTCTGTGGACAGGCCCCTGGGTCGTGCTCCTTGCCCTGCGTGCGTGCGCCTGGCGGGGAGCGGTGGGGAGCAGGCAAGCTCTCTGGGGCTCCCACAAGGACACAGACCCCATCATGGGGCCCCCTCTGCTGGCGCGGGTCCTCATGGGGCAGAAGGTCAGGCCGAGAGCGGAGGGAGCGGCTCGTGCTGCCGCAGGAGGGGGAACAGGCTTCGTGCGGGGCAGGTAGGCATTCGACACCGGTCCAGTAAACACTTACTGAGCATCAGCTGCATCCTGGGCGTTGTGCGGGCTCCGGCTAACGAGAGGGAAAGATGCCTCGGACGCAGGGAATGGCATGAGAGAAGGCGAGAGCCCAGGAGAAAGAGGCCCGTCCTCTTCCGGAAGGTTCTGTCACTGCAGCCCCGAAGGACACCTCCTCTGCTTTTTCCCATCTTCCTTGCCGTGATCCCGCGGCATCTCCTTCTCCTTTCTGTGTCCGATGGAGAGCTTTCAGACTCCTCTTCGGACGGGGCACCATCTTGGGCCTCCCGAGGTTCGGGCTGTTGGGTAGCGTCTTCCCCCTCTGTTCCTGGGCTGGAAGGACCTGCGGAGCCCGTCGGGCAGCCGTGAGCGCCCTGACGTGCAGCCAGCTGTGTCCTCACTACCCAGAGAGAAGAAGGGGCCCCGGGGAGGGTCCTTGATGGGGATCGTCCCCGGGTGAGGCCAGAAGTGCCACCCTGGGGCGGAAGAGCACCACGGAGACTCGTCTGAAGAAGCTCACGAGAGCTTCCCACTTCCACCTGCATCCGTGAAACACCCACCACCAGTTAAGTCCTGAATCCCACAACAACGCCGTCCTGGTTACACAGGGAAGTGCTAGCAGCATGAGGCTGCTATCTACAGCATACGTGATTCCGATCGATGCTCCCCCAGAAGTGGGGGGAGGGATGGGGGGAGGAGGGAGAGGGAGACTGAGAAGGGACTCCTGGCGGGCGGGCGCTGCTGGTCTCGGGGCTGCCTGCTGTCCGGGGGGCTCGGCAGGCTCTCCGCTGAGCCCAGGCAGGAACAGCGTCCTTGGGACCCCTCCCACCTGTGCCAACACCAACGGAAATGTAAATAATAATACACAGACATAGTCACAGCCCGACTCCATGGTGGGGGCACTCACGGGCACCCACCGTGTGTCACGTCTCCAGGTCCCCGTTTGCACCGTGGGGATTAAAGCAGGGACCCCAGCTTCTTCCTCCCTGTCTGTTTTGTTGTGTTTTTATGGACACATGGACTTTTTACCTTTTTGTGTCTTTGGTATTTATATGAGGTGGGATAGCACATGGAAATGGTGGCTTTCATACCATGTTGGAGTATCTGGGTCACCAAACGCCTGTGAGGCTCGTCGAGCATAACTGAGCACCTACTATGTGTAGGGAAGCATGCTACGCTGTCGTCGGGCTACAGACACGCGTGAGATATGACCTCTGCCCTTGGGGGCGTCCCTACCGTCTCAGGAGAGAGACCGCGGCAGAGACAGGCGGCTTCGCCGTGAGCAAAAGGCAAAGACAGAGACAGGGACAGGGAGCCGCGAGGGCGCCGGGCTTGCCGGTGGAAGGCTGTGGGTGGTTATCCTGAGCGCTGGGTCGGATCTCAGTCCAGCCGAGGCAGGAACCACAGCAGTGGTTAACAGTTAAACTGTTAACCTGCGTAAGGTCATAACCAGGAATTAAATGCATGACCAGAGCTCTCAAATGTGTCAGGTGCAGCGGCTGCTACGTGTAGGTTCGGCCGCGTGAGCAACGGGACGAGAAGATCGGAGGCGCTAAAGCTTGTAGACCTGGAGGAGAGAGCCCGTGGGACTGAAACTCAGCCTTGGGAGGGGGGCCGTGCCCCAGCGACGCCCACAAGTTCGGGAATAGCTGCCAAGGGGGGTCCGCTGTTGCCAGTGCCTTGTCGGCAGGGCCCGATGTGGACCCCAGGGTGGCTCGCACAGCGGACGCGGGCTCACAGGGGGCGCACCCGCTGGGCTGGAGACTCGCTCGGTCAACACTACTTCTGAGCGGTCGCAAAGTGTCAGGCACGGTCTAGCTCTGGAGGCGCGGCGGCGGACAATATGGACGGAAATCCGTCTTTGTGGGTTTGCAGCCTGGTTGAGGGAAGCAGACAGGAAGCAGAAGCAAACGGCTGAGTGAGACGGTATCCCCAGCGAATTGGCAAAGAGAAATAAAGCAAGGGGGAGGGGAGAACGTGTGCAAGCGCATGAGCGCCGGGGGCGGGGGCCCTGTTCGGATGGAAAGGTCCTCCCCCAGTCTCGGACTCCTGCAGGCCTGTCTCCTTGTCGGCAGCAGGAGGGAGCAGGCGCGGGGCCACTTCCTTTTCAGCTCCCGGACCCCAGCGGTCTGTGTTTGGGGAATGAAAGTGTCTGGAAGCCGCTCCTGGATTGGCGGTGGTCACCCCGGGCCCAGGGTGGCAGGCAGGTCTCGGGACCCCGCATGCCAGGGTCCCTTCCAGAGCGGGGGAGAGTTTCCACGTCCTCACCCCTGTTTGGCCTTCCCTCTCCAGCCCATGAAGGCATGAAATTAACAGCAATAACAGCTCATGGCTCTGAGTTTTTCTAAACACCAGGATTTCTGTGAAACACATCACGTGTCACTTCATTCAATCCTTCCTGCTCTGCGGCTCGCAGCTGTGTGGCCTTGGGCCACCCAGTTATTGCTCTCCTTTCTGTCCCTAAATGTTCTCACTTGAAAATGGGGATAATCATCGGACTGACCTCACAGGGTTGTGATCGGCATGAAATGAGCTGGCCCTTGTGTTCAGACCAGCACGTGGCAAATGCTCTGTTGCTGTCTGGCTAGTCACGCTGCACACGACTGCGCCAAGGGGTCCTGCGAGCGGGCACCTCGCTCCCCTCGCTGCTGAGGACAGTGAGGCTCAGAGAGGGGAGGGCAGTCTCGGCTCCAGCTGCACCAAGCACCGCAGATGGCCTGTAAACAACAGACCCTGAGGGGTGCAGGGGGCAGGCTGTCCGAAGTCCAGTGCCGGGGGCCCGACATCCAAGGTCTGGTGCAGGGGGCCGGGTTCTGGGCTGAGCCCCCTTCCTGCCTGCAGACAGCCTCCCTATGTGCTCTCCTGGGCTCTGATCCCACCTTAGGGGCTCCACCCTTGCTCGGGGCTTGGTCACCTCCCACACGTGCCCCCTCCTGAGACCATCACACTGGACTCAGGGCTCAGGCTCCCACACAGGGGTTTGGAGGACACACACGTCCAGCCCATCATGGTGGCGACGGCAGAACGCAAGCCTGTGGCTGTCTGCTCATGTCCATGGCTCATGCCCCATGCTCCTGGGACGGTTCTTGCTAGCCTGGTTCCTCACGCGGGGTCCTGGCCCCAAAGGTCCCTTCCCCTGTCCCCTCCCCTGAGGGCATGGTTTCCGGAGCTTCTTTGAGACTCTCTTGGATTGAGAGGAAAGCAGTTGACGTGTTAATGAACAGATTTCCCAGGGAACCAAAGGGCAGAGGACAAAGCCGACCAGGGAGGAGGCCCTTCTCAGCCGCGTCTTGCGAGACGTCATGGGGATGGAGGCCGTGCTGCCCAGCTGCGGCCTCTGTCCCCGATGCCTTGGCCTCCTGGGCGCCTGCCATGGCCAGGGAAGGTGAGCGTGTCTGCACCCAGTGCACCCGCATCACTTGATCTGCTGGACTAATGATCTCTGCCAACGCGATAATCAGCAGGAACGGAAGAGTCAACCAGAGCTAATGCTTTCCAGAGTGCAATGTAATTAATTTAAAATGACTTATTTAGTAAAATGGTAATGATGAGGCTAGTGTCATCTCCCCAGACAACAAGCCTGTTCGTTGTTTGCTGCCTTGGCGTTGCCGATTGGTCTTATGTGTCTCCTACGGCTGTGAACCCATCTCCGGAATGGAGCGGGGGATGGAACTTATTTTATAGAAGTGGTCACGGTGAGGTGACCATTGCAGAGTATCGAGCACTTTCGGGTGGCCCTCCCTCTCTCCCTGATGGGACCCCATTGTCTGCGTCCCACTCTTGGGGGGGAGGGCCACACGGGGGGCTGCCTAGCTTTGGGGGGCCTCCAGGAAGGGGGCTGAGGGAGCAGTGAGCGGAGTCTGGGGGGCCGAGGTCTGAGCTGCATTGATGGTCCAAGAGCCAGGTCGTCAGGTAGCGGGGGATAGGGCAGAGCCGGGGAGTGGCGGGCGGGCGAAGCTGGTGGCCGGGGATCAGGAGGTCAGAGTGGGCATGCGGGCTCTAGAGCAGACTTGCTCACAGGGGACGGAGGAGTCGAAGGAGGGGGCCAGTCGGGACCCCACTTGGTAACTATGGGCCAGGACAGATGGGGGGTGTCTGGGCCCCGGGACCCTGGCTGAGCCCAGAGACGCCGTCAGTGCTCTAGGCACAGCTGTGGTTTGGCAAGTGCCCTCAACATTGCCCGTGGCCAAACACAAATGATAAGAGCGGGGGGCGCCCAGCTGGCTCAGTCAGTGGGGCGTGTGACTTGAT